TTGCAAAGAGTCAGGCATGACTGAAACATTTTAGCTAGCTAGCTAGCCATGGCGGAGAAGGCAATGGCAACCCACTCCAGTACTCTTGCCTGGAAAATCCCATGGACAGAGTAGCCTGGTGGGCTGCAGTCCACGGGGTCCCGAAGAGTCGGACACGACTGAGCAACTTCACTTTCACTTTTCACTTTCATGCATTGGAGAAGGAAATGGCAGCCCACTCCAGTGTTCTTGCCTGGAGAATCCCAGGGACGGTGGAGCCTGGTGGGCTGCCGTCTATGGGGTTGCACAGAGTTGGACACGACTGAAGCGCCTTAGCAGCAGCAGCAGCAGCTAGCCGTGGTGTCTTCCAAAGAAAAACAATTTCATACTTACAGTTTTATATAAGTAAATAGTTTTTATTCGGTTGTTTTATAAGAAAAAAAGCCAAAAATTTTCAAAAATGATTGTTTAATATTTCAGATAACCTTTTCTTTGAGATATTCTAAGCATTTAATTTACAAATCTAAATTTCCAGGAACTCATACTGAGAAAATTCATTCATTCACTGAAGAGATGTTTATGACACATTCCTGGGTACCAAGCTGTTTTCTAGGCTTTCAGTACACAGTGGGAACATGTCTAGTGGAGCTAAGAATAAAAGGGGGCACAGGGGAAGAATCATAATGTAACAATTTTTTTAGGAAACAAAATAAATTAATCTCTGTGCTTCTGAGTTTATACAGCACACGGACTCATTGTTCTCATTACATTTAAACATAACATACTCTAAATCTTCGCTTAAATGTCTTTCCACTTCACTAAAATATAAACAACTTAAGGGCAAGGAATGTCCTTCATCTTTGAATCTTTGGCTTCTAGCTAGTATCTGATCATTATAATGGCTCAAGAACTACATTATGAAATAAATGGATTTCTCTATTTCACAAATTGCCTCTTTCCTTCTCAATTGAATATTCATAATCCTGCCTTCCTTCCCCTTCTTCCTCACCCACCACCCCAAAATAAAAGCTGACACTGGGCTCCCGGGGCAGTTCAGTGATGAAGAGTCCACCGGCCAGTGCAGGGTACACGTGTCTCGGAGCAACTAAGCACCACAACTATTGAGCCTCTGTGGCTAGAGCCTGTGCTCCGCAACAAGAGAAGCCATCTCAATGACAAGCTCGCACACCACACCGAGACCATAGTCCCGGCTCTCCGCAACTAGAGAAAAAGCCCACGCAGCAATGAAGACCCAACACAGCCAAAAATAAATAAATAAAATTATACATTAAAAAAAGCAACACTAGTTTTATGTTAGAAACAGGTCAAATCCCTGGGACTCAAGTTAGCGTTTTTGTTGGTTTTGTTCAGTCGCTAAGCTGTGGTCGCCTCTCTGTGAACCCCATGGACTGCAGCACGCCAGGCATACAAGATACTTAATCAAATGTGCTTAGTTCATAAGAGAGACTCAATAAAACAAATCGGATAAATGAATACCTACAGAGTTTTAAAAAATGGCCTTCAGAAAAGTAATAGGGAAGTGCCACACCCCTGTGAACACAAGTTCACAGCAAGTATTTTTAGAGAACTTAAATGTTGTTTGATTTTGTAATGGGAATCTCAGTGAAAATAAATAAAAGCCAGAGTTTTTAGTTAACGCTGGTGAAACCAGCTTACAAGTGTGGGCAGGAGCAAAGTTGCAAAGCTAAGGAATAATGATTCTAGCCAGGAGCTGCCTGGGAACAAGGTTTTCTTCTGTCACATAACTGAGTTCAGGGAAGCTCTCTTCCAGACTTTCTAACTTCAGGGTTTAACTAGGAGGCTGGGATACATTTCAATCTTTTCAAATAGAGACCTGATCTTGCCTCTCTGGTAATGAATGAACAATTACAGCGCTTTTGGTTACAGTTAGTTTTCACTTTTGGAGCATTTCCCAGGGGTGATATGGGAACCGCTTCCAGGAGGAGGCTGTGAGGCAGAGCTGGAAGCGAGGGCTCTCCTGAGGCAAACGTGCTCTTGGTGGGATGTGACTGTGAACACAGTGTGTGCTAAAACATTAACAACACAGCCAAAGCACCAAATGCCACAAATATAAAAAAAATTGTAATAAAGGACTCCTCTGAGCAGTTATAGACATACACACATATAGATGCACCTAAATTTCTTTTACCCCCCAAACCTGAAATCATGTGAACAATGAGTTGGGCTTTATTAATATCTGGAAAGACCGTTAGTTCCATGTTTTCCCTAGGTGAGTGACCAGCAGCAAGCCCTCCATTTGAAGCTGGAAACACTGAAATTCACACGGCCAATTATGCAATACTAGACCACTGGGAAGCATTTCTGGCTGGCTCAGCTGGTGATCTGATTTTACCCTGCAGCAGCAAGATTGATAGACCTTATAATTTTATTCTGGTTAGTGTAGATGCTGTTCTTACATAAGTTTTTTTTTTTAACTCCTCTTTTTCTCAAAAGAAAAAACCTGAGTCCTTCTCAAGTGGTTTGCCTCAATGACATTTCATGGTGATAAGATCAGTACCCCAATCACCAGCTAGAGTGATCCTTTCACATGTATTTGATGTAGTTTAATTTCATTGAATGCCGTGTGAGCTTGTTTATGAGAGAGAATGAAAAAGAACAGTAACTCGCCCCCTTCTAAATCATTCCTTTTATGAGGCTTCTTTGGGCATGAGGGAAAGAGACTCATTCTTCGAAGGTACAGAATATCAATTGGGGAGCTGTTTCTCTCATGCTAATGACAAGGAATAACTTAAAAACATTACATTCATATGTATATATGGTGCATATATACATAATTAGTATATTTACAAAGTACCTAGCAGAACCTCAGAACTTTTAGTTCCATTAACCCTTAAAAGGAAAACTAGAATTCAGATCAGTCAAAGCGCAGAAGAATGTGCTCCCTTTCAATTATATTCACCTATCATCCTTGTCTAGGAAAGACACCTCCAAAAAATATGAAATGAACTTTTTTTTTCCGAAGCACTGCTACAGTCTGCTATGTATTAATCAGATTCTGCAGTTCTAATTACAAAATAAGCACTAACTACTACATAGAATAAATATACTAGCCAAAAACATTTTTATAATCTGAAAGAAATGCTCCCATATTGATACTGCTAAGAGAAACAAACTCCCTTCTCCTTGATTATAAAGAAGCAAGACAGATGGCTTCTTGTTTAAGACTGTAATTTTACTTTCAGCCTCCTCCCTCAGTTAAAAAACAAGATGTACTTTGACGCTTGAGGGAAAATCTCAAGGGAAGGTTTTTTAAAATTCCTGGTTGCATTGAATAATTAACAAACAACTGAGAACTGAGAAAGATACAAAGGGGAAAATGCTATAGCTTGTTTTCAGGGAGTTTATAATCTAATTGTGGAGTTCACAATCAGAATTGGGACCAGAGCCATTGAAGTATTTTTTTTTTTTTCACTTCTATTTAATGGCCTAATGGTTACACCCTTAGGATTCACAGCCCAGAGGTATGGTTGACCCTCTGATCAAACTGGAAGGGAACATAGGGAGAATGCAGAGGAAGAATTAATAATCTCAAGCAGTACTTACTGAGTCCTTACTGTCCTACTGAAAATGATATAATCGTTCAGTCATGTCCGACTCTTTCCAACCCCATGGACTGTAGCTCACCAGCCTCCTCTGTCCATGGAAGAATTCCCATGGAATTCTCCAGGGAAGAATACTGGAGTGGGTTGCCATTCCCTTCCCCAGGGGATCTTCCTGACCCAGGGATGGAACCCAGGTCTACTACATTGGCAGGTGGGTTTTTTACCAATAGCGCCACCGGGAAGCCCCTACTGTCCTACTAGCTGCTTGCATATAGTGTTTAGTCTTGACAACAGCTCTTCCTGGTCATCCTTATCACCTGTTTTTCACAGAGCAGGAGAAACGGGCTTAGGGAAATGATTCATCCCTGGTAACAGACCTAACGACTTGAAACACACCACCTGGGAATTCCTCTTTGGCCTTTCCTTTGGGGGTCCCAGGGTTCCATCTTGATTTTCCTTTGCTTCCATTCCCTTTCAATGCACCTGAAGTCAGCTTACTTCTGTACTATTTCCGCCCCCGCTTAGCTTTTCAGTAATCTTTAAAACTTGCAGTCTTTCATTTGGCAGTCAGGCCTTCTAGTCTCCTTTGCACCTTTGCAAATAAGTTTTTTTTTCCCCCCCGGATTCTGTCTTTAAGACATTCTTTTGACAGGATGAAGGGAAACATGAAAAAGCTTAAAACAGTGCCTCGTAAGTGGTTCTCTTAATACAAAGCATGATCTATAGTTTTATTCCTGCCACATTTTAACTGTTCTCATATCACACTTTCTCAACCTCTTGGGGTTGTAGTTCTTGAAGATGGTGACAACACTTACTCTTAATTGCTGATACTGTCTAGCGTATTCGCGGAACAACAAGGACTTTTAAAAGATAGCAGGAACTTTGGTCGTTTGGTTCATCTATTTATTCCCAGTGCTTGTAAATTACTGGAATTTAGTATGCTTGCGGTATACGTATGTTTTAATATGATGAATTAATACTCATTTGTGTGTGTGTGTGTGTGTGTATGTGTGGACTATTCTGTGTAAAGTTTCGTTCAGATCCAATATGTCTCTGAATTAAGAGACCTGGAGAATTTTTTGCCTTTTCCTTATTTTAGCCCCTCTATAACAATTTCGACCTTGGGTGCATTCCATCAAACTCTCGGTGCCTTCAAAGCATAGTTTCCACATCAGCAAAATGGGGCGAGTAGCAACAGATGCTTGTTTCTCCTTGTCCTCTATCACATAGTACTTCTCCACGGGGTTACTGCGTACTCTTTCCTCTGGATAAAAATCAGTCACCTGAGAGGTAAGAAACCATTAGGGTGGGTCCTCGGGTTGCAAGCCCAATAGGGATACAGAACAGCTCCGCAAGCCTCGCCCGTGCCTCCCGGGTCCGGAAACAACCCGACCCCATTTCGGCTGCGAGCCTGCCCAGCCCTCGTGCGCCCCAGCCTCAGGCGCCCTCTCGCGCAGAGGTAGCGCTCTGCCTCGGTGCCACAGCTAAATAGGCTCGGTACCGCGCAGGCTCCGACGCGCGCCGAAGGGCCCGGCCTAGTTTTGGCCGCAGCCGCCCGGCCGCCCGCGCGGCGCTGCACTGGGGGCGGGGAGTCTGATGGGAGACGCGCGCGGCGCTGAGGAGGCGGCGGCCCGGGAGAGGGAGCGGGAGAGGGACTGGGCGCGGGAGGCGGGAGGCGGGGGACAGGGGGAGGCGCCGCCGCCGCCGCCGCCCGCCCCTTTCCGCTGGGGAGCAGCTGCAGCAGCAGGAGCGAAGCAGGAGCCGCGCAGCCACAGCCGCCGCCGCTGCCACCGCCGCCGGGGGATGTGGTCGGCGCCCGCCCCGAGCCGCGCCGCCTCCTGAGCACCCGCCGCCGCCCGAGCCGTCGCCGCCGCCGTCGAGTCGTGTGGGGCCAGGCCGCGCCCTCCCCGGGCGCCCGCCGGCTCGCATGCCGAGAGGCTCCGGGGCGTAGCTGCGCGCCCGGCGCCGCCTCCGGGCTCCTCCGGCCCCGCCATGGGCTGCTGCAGCTCCGCCTCCTCAGCCGCGCAGGTGAGGGGCTCCCGCCTCCCGGCCGCCCGCCCGGATGCCTCCCTCGCGCCGCGCGGCGGGCGCCCGCCGCCTTCCACGACCCGCGAGCTTCCCTTCAGCCCACCGTGCACTCCAGAGACTCTCCCCACCCGCACCTCCCCCTGTCCCGCCGTTGCCCCCGCGCTGGCTCCCAGGGCAGCCGACTGGCAGGCGCCTCAGCGCGGCCCCCGGGGCGCCCCTTGCAGACTTGGCCGCCGCCTCCTAGTCACACCTGAGCGGCGCGTCCCGCCAGCCCGCAGGTAGAGGCAACAAGGACGCCTGCTCTCTGCCCCAGGTGGCACCCCCCCTTCCTTCGTCTTCCGGGCCTGCCTTCTCGCTTCCCACCTCCTTGGAGTCCGCCCGCTCCACATCTACAGACTATCCTCTGTGCTCCCTGGAGGAGTAGCTCCAGCTTGGGCTGTTCGCCCCATCTCCCACCTTATTACAGTTTCTGCTGTATTGGAGATTCTGTCCCTTTTCTCCTGCCGGCTGCCCCCGGCCCGGGTTCAAGCGTTTAAGCGGATCCCGGAGCCCTCCTACGACCCTGTTTCCCAGATTCCAGCAGCTCGCCTCCCACCCCATCCCCCCTTTGTGCCTTGACCTCAGACACCCAGGCCTCTTTGCACACCGAGGCCCCTGCGGGAGCGCGGGGACTGCGCTGGGAAGGAGATTGGGCACCTGGAGGGTGACGGGAGCGTTACGGAAACTCCCTCTTTGTTGCCAGTGTAACAGGAGGAAGAGGTGCCCAATTTAGTTTTTCTGTGGGCACACTGGCTGAGTGTTGTCGCTGAGGGCTGAGATGCAGAGATTTCTCCCAGCGTCTACCCTGCCCCCATCCAAATTTCGCTAACCTGCCTCTCTCTCTTGCCGATCGGAGCCCTTAACCTGGATAGAAATGTTTTAGACAACTGTATAAGGATCAGATGTAATAGGACTTGACTGCTGTCCGCTAATAACTGAGAGGACCTGTTTGTAAATTACCTAATTTAGTGGATTAGTGAGTATTTACAAATACGATAAAAAGCAATCAGGAATACTGCATCAAACTGTCTGGTGGTGGTGTATGAAAAATAGTCTCTGACAATGCCTGGGATGTAATCTCACAGTTTCATTAGCTTAGAATTTAACTATGGTCTTTGATTTGTTTGTTTTGAGGGGGAGACAAGGACTCTTGTTTTTAGAAATAAAGGGTCGTCCGTTCTTGGTGAAGAAAAACGCTAGTTTGGGGGAAAAAAATTCCTTCAGAGATCTAGCATCTGTGATAATGCCAGAAGTATTTTGCTACTGCTAAATGACTATATATAACTCAGTTTTAAATAACCTGCATACTTGTTCTGAAAATCTGAGATCTGTCAGCAAATGACTGGAATTGCAGATGAATTGAGGACATCTATGTTTTATTAAGTATCCATCCTATTTGTCCATTTCTTTTTTGGATGTTTGCTTACTCGTGGTTTTTTTTTTCCTTTTCCTATTAGGATCATAGTCAGGCTGATTGGTTTTAGTTAGTTAAACCTTACTGTTCAGTTAGAATAACAAAGAAAAACTATAAATAGTGGTGTTAGGAGGGAGAGGTCTATACTTTTCACATTAACAGATAAAGGTGTGGAATCACACAATTCCTTTCAACTGGTTAGAGGTTTTTGGGGAGAGAGAGGAATCTAGTTGGGTGCTGTTGGTCTAATATTTACTTAAATATTATTTTGACAAAAATGGTATCTTTGCTGTTGCCGTTCTCTGAAGAATTGGTTTACTATGTATCCTCTTTTGGACATGAAATGCCTTAGAGACAGGAAAGTATTGGATAGTTTATGGATGGCTTGTTCCATATTTATAATCAATTAAATTTGGGAAGGATGGATGCTGGACCCGAATTCCACTTAACAGATCTTGCATTTGACTAGCTCCACACCTTACTTTTCGGAATGCTGTCACACGTATTTTCCTTGTTTTTTCCTCTTCTTGCAGCCACTGTTTGCTTCATGCTGTGTTCTACAGACAAGACACAACGTCATGCACCCTGAGGGGTGCGTTGTTTTTTTTTGCCCCTGTGGTTTCCTATAGCCAATCAACAGCTGTCACATGCCCTTAAGTTCAGCTTTAGGGACTTGTAGTGTTCAGTGGAGCATTGAGGAGCATGTTTTGTGCCAAAGAGCAGGTCATCGTGTTTTTTTTTTTCTCCCTTATTTGAGGTTTTGCATCATTCTTTTATTTGTGAAATGTTATCAATCTGCTGCATTTTAATGCTCCTTTCAGGAACATCATCAATTGGGATAATATAGTATCTATATGTGTTGTGTTGAAACCAAATAGGGATGGCAGCTGCACATCTTCTCTAAATGTGAGCCTGCACATCACTATGAACTTCTCTAAGAGGCCTGGATTGTATTCTCAGGCACAATGTTTCTTTCATCCCTTCTACTGGATTGTAAACTTCTTGAATGTAGGAACTCTTTTTGTTTTCCACATGTTTGTATTCATTGCAGTGCCTTACTATACCTTGTACATGATAGTGGCTCAGCAATAGTCAATGAACAGAATATAGATACACAGATTGGAACATTTGGCTGGCAAGTAACATTTAATATGAATCCAGCCCTGAACCATGTGCTCTTTCACTTCCATGAGCTGGTTGACTAATGTCTCCAAGCCATTCTCTTCTGCGTTCAAATTTGAACTGTTTTAAGTTAAAATTCACTTGCCTTTCCCACATTCCATCCTATTCTTTCAATGGGACTGTCAGTTTGCAAAATTGAGCAGGTTTTTTCTTTGCTACTGCTGCTCAGTGCTTATGTTTTAGTTGGAGCAGTGGCTAAAACGTCTTAAAGGAGCTTGTCTGCAAACTCTAAAGATAACCTGCACAGCACATCAAAACAAACATGCTTTGGGGTAATCTGCAGTTCAGCTTAGCTTTTCTCAGTGGTATCGTCAGCAACTTTAAAGCCCTGGCGTTTTATCATTGTAAATATAGTGTGTTTCCTCTTTGTAGTAGGGATTCACTTTTGAAATATATATAATTTATTTTCCCTCATAGTCTCTTGCCTATATTGTAGACTCTCATAAAAGAGTTATTGTCTTCCAAACTGTTTCATCTCTTGTAGTCTATTCAGGTATTATTTTCATTTTCTTGGCAGTGTCTGAATATCATAATTTGTCTTCAAAATAATTATCCTGTTTTTGGATTTAGCTAAAGTGTCACATTCTATACCTACTTGCATTTCATTGTTTAAGGAGGAAATTATTGGCTAAATTATTTTACTGTATCAGATATGTGTATCTAAGAACCTTAAGAACTCTTAGAAAAAATGTTTATAGAACTCTTAATTATGTTTTGTTTTCTTATTAGTGACCACTGCAAGTTACTTGCTAATACTAGTAGTTGCTCAAGACAAGCCAGTACATGATAGCCTTTGCCTAAAAATCTCTTTGAAGGGAACATAAAAGTGAGATAGTCTTGAGTTTCTTTTTACAGCACTAATCCTCCCTAAGACTCTTAAAATTTATTCCCAACTCTCCATAATTCGTTTGTTCTGTTATAACCTGACATAATTTCTATTCTTGTAATGTTAAACTTCAAAGTTCACTTGTAAATCTTCAGATTTATGAAATGTTCTTTCCCATTGACAAACCAGTTTGAATGAAGGAGGCTTTTGAAAGATTACTTAGCGAATTGTCAAAAGTCTTTGTCGTTAATGGCTAGATCATTATTTCTCACAGTAGTGCTTTGGAAGTCAGGAGATTTTGCCAGTGCTCTGAAGTTCTGTGTCCTTTGGTCCTAACCTTAGAAATTGTGAGAGGGATGGAGGATAATCTTTCTTGTTGTACAAACTGCCCCTTCTATCTGTCTGTTGGAGAGGTGGTTCTTGTCTCTGGTCTTGTCCCATGTCGTCAAATTGAGAGCTCCATATTTAACTGTGTTTTTCTAGCTCTCGTATCTTGTCTTGGGATGAAATGAAAAATGAGAAACAATCAAGTGGTTCACAAACACTGGTTAACTTTTAACAATGTTAACTGTTCTTTAAAAGAATTTTAATAGTAACTGTAGTCTCCTGCTTTGTGGAATTTGAAGTCAGAGGTTAAAAATGAAAATTGAAGAGTAGTGGGAATTACCAACAGAGACTAAGTTATTCTATTAAAATGTGCCCAACAGAATATACCTGTTCTAACTGAAACAAAAAAAACCACAGCATGAAGACTGTTTTTGTCTTCTGAATTCTGTGCTGTTAGCATGTGCTGTGCCTAGTTGCTCAGTCGTGTCGGACTCTCTGCGACCCTGTGGGCTGTAGCCCACCAGACTCCTCTTGTCCATGGCATTCTCCAGGCAAGAATACTGGAGTGGGTTGCCATGCCCTCCTCCAGGGGATCTTCCCAACCCAGGGGTCAAACTCAGGTCTCCCACATTGCAGGCGGATTCTTTACCATCTGAGCCACCAGGGAAGCCCAAGCATAGAAGATCCATTCCTTAAAATACATAAATCAATGTTAATATTAAAATTGGCTGGAAAGTAATGTAAAAATGATGAGACTTTTTGCATGGCTATTTTTCACAGCCCTTTTCACATTTCAACTTCTCCATTAATTCTGAAGTCGACTTCCATTTACAGCTGAGGAAGTTGAGAGTTGGATGTTAGTTGAGACTTGGCTGCAGTCTCTGAGCTACTAAGGGATCAGTCCAAACTTTACCCTTGTCTTGAATCTGAGTCCTGTGCTTCTGTTTCTGTGTTCACATATATGTTTCCCATATCTTAAATTGTAGTTCATTTTATCTTTAGAAAAGGTCCACTCAATCACATTTTGAAATAAGGAATGTGCAAGTTCAAGTCATGCCATTTTGAACTTGCTGGAGTTACTAGATAGGAAACAATATGATATAATAAGCAACACTAGTCCAGTTAGAAAGTTCCCAGTCTTAACAAATACTATCAAATACCATTTGATGTGTTAATCCTATCATTTAGAAATGTTATTGGCTTGGAGGATAT